TTAACGTTCTAGTAAGTTAAAATGTTAAATCACTTTATATGTATTTTTTGGTGTAACTGTATTTTATTTTAAAGGCATGTTTAAATACAATTGAATTAAAATTAATAATTAAAAATAACCCAAACTATAAACAATCAACGCCCCCCCCCCCATCCAGCAGGCCGTGGCAAAAATATCAAACATTGACAGGTCCGCGGAAATAAAAAGGTTGGGAAACACTGGCTTAACGTGTTCCGAAAGCGATTGAAATTTCCTTTTCTGGTGTTGGCAAAAAAAGAACTCAAACTATGAACCGGACAGAACTGAAATATTTAAAGTGAACTGTTCGTACAAACCATAAATATGTGAACTAACTTTGCTGTATTTTTTGTTTTAATAAAGGTTATCCATTTAAACAGATTGTATAATAATTTAGAGCTATATTTTATTGTTTATAATCCTGGATAATTGGGACAGAAAGGGAATCGTTTTGTGCAAAAGATAAAAAAAAAAATCGAAGGAGATGAATCAAAAATACAACCGGAAAAAAAAATATTGGTAATAAAAATAGGTCTTCCTTTGGCGAGATTTTTTAATTCTGTTGTCTCCAAATACCAAAATATACAGTTGTACATCTTGGTACAATGAATGACATTACTCATCAGTTTAATCAATATTAACATTCATTGATTTACATATTCTTTAATTCTGTTGTCTCCATATACCAAAATATACAGTTGTACATCTTGGTACAATGAATGACAATACTCATCAATTTAATCTATATTAACATTCATTGATTTACATAGACGTGAAATTGATTGACATATTCTTTAATTCTGTTGTCTCCAAATACCAAAATATACAGTTGTACATCTTGGTAGAATGAATGACATTACTCATCAGTTTAATCTATATTAACATTCATTGATTTACATAGACGTGAAATTGATTGACATATTCTTTAATTCTGTTGTCTCCAAGTACCAAAATATACAATTGGGTAAATTTTAGAAATAGCCAATTAATATGATACTTACAACAAATGACGTTACTCGTCGATTTAATATAAATTATTAATAATCAATAATTTACTGAGGCGTATCATTTGTTTACATATTCTTTAATTCTGTTGTCTCCAAATACGAAAATATGCAATTAGGTAAGATTCAGAAAAAAACAATCATTATGCTACTTACAACAAATGACGTTACTCGTCGATTTAATATAAATTATTAACAATCAATGATTTACAGAGGCGTATCATTTGTTTACATATTGCAAATTTCAAATTTGTTTATATATTGCATGTTGCAAATTTCTCCCAATACTTGATCCAGGAGTTCCCTTTTCTTCTGGAGATTGGGTACAAAATTACAAGGCTACGTAGTTGAACATTAGTAGTCGTAAACCCAAAATTGGGTCGGCTTTTCAACGACGGCTGTAAAATAAAATAAAACAACAGAGATCACATATTAATATACTATTTTTGTATTATCAAATCTTGCATTATGGAGATTAGTTGTTTCAAAAACTTAAATTTATCTCTTTATGCAGTCAATTTTAAATTATTTTAATCCAATTAACAATTGAATAATCACAACATTTTTAAAATACTGACCTAAGGGTTCCTTCACAAACCAATATATTTTTAAATGACACTGATTAGTGACACTTATATCAAAAAATTATATTCTGATTTTAAAAAAAAAACTAATTTACAATTTTAAACAATATATCACATTTTCAAATAGGCTCTTCATAAGAATTGATTACATTTCTGTGTTCAAAAACTATTTCGAACATAAAAATAATTAGTTAAATATTTTATTTGATATATAATTATTTTGAATTGTGTTTTTTTTTCTCATTAAATTTTAATGTGTAGTTTCAAAAAAATATTTATGAAGTTTTAAATGACTGCTCAAAGTTCAGCTTTTTTTTACCCCAAAATTTCTGTGGCATGTCTCAGTTATAACATACTAATCAACCACCAAGGTATATAACCTCAGTTTTCTTTCATTATAAATCAGAATTCCACAATACTTGATTATGTTTATCATTTTATTAACATTGAGTAAGTAATGGGTAATAACATTTAGATTTAACGTGGTATAATCGTGTTCGATTCTCGTGTCATTGAACATTTCACTTTCAAACTTTATTGCATTGAAACCAAAACTTATATGGGCTTTTGCGAGATAAAATGTATTTTTCCAAAAAAAAATTTTTTTTTAACGTACTTACTCATTTTCCTAATTTATAATCTGAGAATATAAAAGAGAACACGTGCATAGAATCCTGACCTACAGCATTTTGGATCTATGAATTTTTCTGATCATAATTGATTATTATTCGCAATTGTTCCTTATTTTTCTTGTTGTTGTTGTGGGAGACCTGTCAGTAAGGGCCTTTGCCCATTCATTTTAAAATGTTACGTTAAGGTGGAATGCATTATGGTATTCAATATAGTTTTGTTCGTGTAAAAAACTATCCAACTTTGATTAGTATTCTAGTAATTTTTTATGTAGTAAAATATCAGATTCATCTTAAATTGCTGATTTATGGGTTGGTTTGAAAATAATTGAAATTTTTTGAAAAAATGACGTCACTGCAGCAGAAGAAGGATCCTATTGGTCATAAAAAAATTTCTTCGGTAGATTTTCATATTCAAATAATTTATTGAAATTGCCATAGTGCTCTTTATCGAAGAAATGTTCATTAATTTTTGAAAAATGGTGATGGAAGAAATCAATTTTTTTGGTCTTTATTGATATTTATGCTTAAAATCTTTTGGTACATTACTGTGAAACCTAGTTCGTGTATCAAAATAACACATACATGTAATATAATTATTATATAATGCAATGTAATTACTATAATTATGTACTTTTAAAAAAAGTGGTTTCAGTTGCAAGGAAAAATCATTCCTAGATAAAAATATAATTGAAGATCGCGCAGCATTTCTTACAGATACATTGCTTATGTCTTTTTATAAGTAAATCTTGTACCTAAATATTATTGGTCACCGTGAAGCCCTACGGAGAGCACCAGTCTGGACAATAATAATCCAAAGCGTGTTGCATCTCGCAGTAGACTGATCGTAAAGTCACAGATCCCAGAAGAACACCGAAGTCAAGCATCACTGACTGCGGTCAGTAAGGGGTGGGTGACCATTTTGATCAGTCTGCGTAGGGACCGAGGGTGTGCTGTATCGGTCCTCGTTAAACTGTTCTACCGCAAAAGTGCTCTACTTCGCAAGCAGGTCGTCGGGCTAAAAAAGCTGGGGAACCATCCCCTCTGCAGAGGATCAAAATTGTCTTCGGATCATCCTCAGGGATGTTTCCAGACAATCGCCAATAGTTCATAGTGCAGCTCTAGTGCGACGTAAACAAAGTACCCACCCACCAAAACGTGTTGCAGAATGTTGAAAATATTTTTCATCACTAAACATGGCAAGCAACGCAATTGATTTGCAATTCTGAAGAAGAAAGGGCTTACGTGAGAATTCTTTTAAATCTGCCAGGAAACATACTGATAATTATTTTGAATATGTCTGTATTTTTTTATTAAAATTTAAATATTTGTTTTCAATTTAAATGAAGAATTAGTTAATTTGGATACCCTTTAATATTTTTTTCAAAACTTTTTTGTTTTTGTCCACACTAGCTCCATACCGAGGGGCTAGTGTACCAATTATTTAATCTCAGTGGCGTACATAGAATTAGATACACCCTCTGAAAGATTTATAAATGCATTCAATTTTACACATTTTAAGAGATTTTAAAAAATTCTCTTAATGTGGCATACTAGAAGTTATACTTCTAAAACATGTAATAAGCTTATTCATTAAAAAAGTAATATCTTCTATTCTTAAAAACGAACAAAAATAGTCTAAAGTCAAACATGCAAAATAATTAAAAACTTACTTTTCCACCCAAAAAAAAACTGTTAAGTGCTTCTTAATTTGCATATAAACAATCTAGTGTTTTGTCTTCTAACTACTTATGAAAGTGTAACACAGTTTTGCCAATCTGCCAACATTTACAGAGAATTTTGAGTGATAAATAACAGAAATATTCCATTTGCATACACTAGTCCCATATCTGTCAGCCCTTTCTTTCCTATATAATAGCTGTGGTACAAAAGCATAAATGCTCAAGAAATAAATAACTAAAATTAAAGTTGAAGTCGCGAAAAAAAAGCATTTTTTCAGGAGATATTTATTGTTTTTCTAGTGGTATTTAAAATAAATTTGAAACTTTATGACGTATATTATAATAAAATTCCATTATTTAAAAAAAATGACATTGTCACTAGTTCTGAAAAAGTGACGAATTATGACATTCATGTGTCATTTTTCGATGTATAATCATAGTCTTCAAAATCCTCGTAATATCCTTCAGATAAAATCCTTTCTTTTATCTGAAGGATATTTGATTTTACACATTAATTTAGCATATAAAATTTCTTTATTTGAACAGAGAAGTCTGATATTTTAAGGAGGGACCTGTTATTTATATTTAGCCATTCATATTAGCGGTTTAGCCATTTCTGGCTCTTGCGCCCGAAAATACTAACTAACAAAAATAAAGATAAAAGTAGATAGAAACATCTAGGAGAAAAATATAGATATGTTTAAAGATATATTTAGAGATGTTTAGGTATAGATAGTTTTACTTATTTTTATGTCCGTTTTTTTTTCCGCTGAAATGACTAAAAATACAAACAAAAACACAGTAGCTGTGTGTAAAAAATGTAAGAGTCAGCATCATAGATTCGAGAATCAGCTGTCCAAAAGTCTTATCTAGCCAAAATCCATGTCTATTAAAATCTATACAACTCTACATCTACCTCTTGTCTAAACATTTGAGTTATCAAAGTTTAATAATTGGCTCAAAATTCCGTTTATCCGCCACAATGAAAAGTTTGAGAAGGGGAAAAAAAACTCGCAAATGTTGTATTAAAAAAAAATCCCCGAGTCCCATAAGATGAATCAGAGAAAGAAAGAAAGCCACAATCTCTAATGGATGGATCGCCAGGTCTGGATCTATTTCTGGATCATTCTCCGATCCTCTCTCTGAATCAGATGCTACACTACCTCTTCCCTGAAGCAATTCCAGACGATGAGATGAGGATGCTGGAGAGGAGATCTCCTCTCCCTGCTCCTTAAGCTTCTATTCCATTCCCCTTGTGTTCCACATTCTTGCAGATGCTCAATGGTGAAACATACACACACTTTGTCTTTTGTTGTTCTGCTCATCCACGTGTTTCTATCACCAGCGATCGACCAACGAGTGTGATTCACCGATTTAGAGTTCGAATCAGTGTTGATTTTTAGAGAGATTTGTGCCGTACCAATCATACATGAAAATATTAACTCCAAACAACAGTTTTACTTCCTTCATTGTATTTCTAAATAAGAAATATTTATCAATTTAGAGTTTGGATCGGTGTCGTTCTTAGAAAGATTTGTATCGTGCAATTCAAAACTCATAATTCATCAACTTGTACACGCTTGATTGTATTTCTAAACAAGAGACATTTATCAATTTAGTGATTGAATTAGTGTCATTCTTAGAATACTTTGTGTTTTGTGCCAACCACTAATTCTACATTAAAGAGCTCCGATCTATAGCTAATCAACTTGTACAGGCTTGATTGTATTCCTGAATAAGCTCTTTTTGTCCATTTAGAGTTTGGATCAATATCATAAGTTTTATGTTCTTTGCTACATGAAACATATGAAATATAAACTTTAATTCATCAAAGTAACTAGTTTGTGTTTGATTGCATTTCGGAACAAGCAACGTTTGACTACACAGTACTGCGTCTAAACAATAATTTTGTTTCACTTATTTCATCCCTCCCCGCCAATCACTAAGAAATAATCCGAGATCGCTTCTATAGTTTTAAAAGTTCTCAATAATACTTGGTAGTTGTTTTTAATTTAAAGAATGTATGAATGTTTATATCTATGAAGCTTTGTTTACGGCTATTTTAATTTCATCGCAATTTTGACAATTACGAAAAAAAAAAGTCAACCTAACCGCAGTGAATGGAATTTCTGTCATTTGTTTTGACAATTTAAAAAGAAACCTGATAATTTTGTTTGACGGAAACGGAAGTGGTACTGGACTATATGGAAGACACAACTCAATTCAAACAGCCGATGGTGGTCTTCAAAACGTGGTTTTGTGTTTTGTGATTAACTTATGTTACAATGATCTTACCTGTTAGGCGTGGAATCTATTTTTTATTATGTGTTGCGATCATATTTTTTGTTCTATCACTCTAATTTTACCGTCTTTTTACTGTGAAATATCGTCTTGATCATGTTCAGAATCATGTCGTAAAAAAAACGTTGTAAACATTCCCATTAAGTGGACCAAAATTCGAATATCGGACCTTTACTTTTTGGTTTTTTTCATTCACAACTTTATCTGTGACTTATTGATGACTAAACCATCTAATGCGAGATTGTGACTTGTCGGCCATGTTGGACTGTGAAGACGGCGAAAAAGAAGTGAACTCCAATTGCAAACATTGCGAAGGTGGGATTTAAATTCTTTTTTGCACAATATTCTTACTATATTTATTCTATTTATATCATATGTTGTAAAACCAGCCTAGTGGTTTTAAGAAATTTTACACACAAGAAAAAAAAAAGTTAACATAAAAAATAATTTGAAATATGAATTTATTTTAATATTTTTGATATTTTTCAAAAAGAAAAACCACTCTTTATTTTTGTTACAATTTTTTATGAACATTTTGTTCCCATTTTTGGATACAAAACACCCTAGGGCGCAGTGCGGAAAATATTTGGCACCGCGTTTTCGCATTATTGTTCAATTTCATATTATAATTCTGTGTTAATCGAAATATAAATTTAAGGAAACAAGTTTCATAAATAATTATTTAATCTTTTCTTAAATTTAAGCAAAATAGAAAAAAAAGATACTGCCATAGAAGGAAATCAAAAGTTTTAGAAACTAAAGGAAAAATTAATAATAAAAATAAATACATTTTCGAACTTTAAAAAGTGATGATTGTAAACAATTAATATTTTTATCATTTTCTCGTTTTAATAAAATAAATTTACAAAATGTTACGTTCAATATTTCTTACAAAAGAATTGCTTTGTACATTTTTTTTTTGCAGAATGCAATTTTATGCAGATACTTAAATGCAGATTTTTATGCAATTATATAAACAGCATTCCATCATGATTGTTTATAATATTTATACTTTTAATTTTATTATCAAAACTGAAATCAAGAATCTACGGATCACCGATTGAAATTTAAGTTAAGAAAAAAACATTATTCAAATCTAACTATTGATGCATGCAAAACGAGTCAAATCCGAATCGAATTCTGTTTGAATCGTCTGTGGAAATAAATAGAAATTTAAAGCGATTTTTAGAAATTTCAATCAAACTGGTTTTTATATTTTCAGCATCGCTTTCTTAACTTGTGACTCATAAGTTTCTCATAGCAAATTTTTCTTTTCCTCGATTAAATATTTATTTGCAACCCCCTTTCTGAAAATACATTCTTGAATTCATTTTTGCCAAGGATTACAAAGAAAATCTATTAAGGAGGGGGGGGCTGGCATATATATATATATATTCACGCTACGTTAAAATTAGTTCTATGTCTCTTTAAACTTAAAACTTTCTAAGTTTTGAAAAATCACTAGTATTGAACCAAAATGTTTTATTAGTTGAGTTTTAATTCACAAAAAAATTATATTAAATAACTTTGTTCCGAACAAAAAATCTTCTAACAAAAATATAACATTGTTTAGAGCTGAGTTTCGATAACAATAGTTATAAGAAATCGAGAATAATTATTGCAAAATTAGAATTATAAAAATTTCTATAACAATAATTATGATCTTTATAATTATTATTATAATTATAAAAATCATATTTGTATTAATTTTTTACAATCTTATAAACGAAACAATAGCTGTCCGAAACAATTGCATACCAATAACAATCCGTCGATTTGACCTTGGATTTAATTGAAATTTTTAAGCTCTAAATTATTTTAAAACTAGATAGCCCTGTCCTCGGGCTGCTGCCCAAAATGTGCTAGCTTTCTCAAGCCTTGAAACTGCTTTCGCAATTACTTGAGAAATTCTTCAAAATGAGAGTTCTCTTTAACAGCTGGTTGAATATTTATATATTTTAATCTAGATTTGTACGTCTTAGCCTTGTGCGTTACTCCTTTTTTTAAAGAAGTAACAAAAAATACAGAACAAATGCATCCTACGAAACTTTTGAGTTACAAACATTTTATTCATTTTTTATCCATTACAATGCTAGTTGCAAATTGACATTATACATAATAACATAAAGACAATAACATAATTTTTTCATAAATAATTTGTAGACTTTCCCTATGTACACAATTATAATGTTCACTATTTGGAGACAACAGATTTAGGTCCTTTCTTCGAACATAAATTCGTAGAATGTACAGTGCTCAAAGTAAAAAACNCGATATTTTTGTTTTGCACACAACTATAAATATTATATCCTACGATAACAAAATATAAATTTTTATTATATAAATATGACTTATTTATTGTTTTTCATTATTTTATTTAATAATGGTCGAAACAATTTTGATTTTTTAGGTGTACAATTTTTTTACATCATTTTAAAGAATGTAATTTTAATGGAGAAAAATACAAAATTTGAACGAAATCGGTATAGTTCCTGAGAAATCCCGTATTTTTAAATTTTGATTTCTCAGAAACTATTTGACCAATTTCGCTCAAAATTTGTAGTTCACTTTTCATCCTTTAAAAAAATGTATACCTTCAAATTCTTTCAAAATTCTTTCGACTATAATGTAAAAAAAATAAAAATCAATAAATATTTACTTAAAGTTATATTTCGAATGGAATTACCTTTGGATAAATGAATTTTATAATCGTGTGCAAAAATTTTTCAATTCGCTTAAGTTTACGAGAAATGGCGAAATGTGAAATTAATATTAAGGGTTCTTAGCTTTGGATCGTTCTCCTGACCAAATTATTGGGTCCATATATCAAAGATTGCGGCTACCCCTATATTTTAAGAGTCAGATATCCAAATACGTCGAAAAGGAGGTATGTTTATTCAGAGAAAGTACGTTTTTGTGCCTGATTTCTTATTTTGAAATATCGTCTACACTAATTACGTAGCATATTTCAGGTTACCTCCTCAAACGTTAAAGATTAAGTCCCTGAATATGAAAATCCGATCATTAGATCAAAAGTTATTCAGTGGGGTCCGTTTTTTTATTTTGCGCATTGTACAAAAACCAGAAAAAAGGCTGAGAGACTACAAAATAATATAGGTATAATTGGCAAAATAATTTAGGGTTAAATTAATTTAGGGATGGAAAAATTAGGATTACTTTGGAAAATTTTTTCAAGACAATGAAATAACTAAAGCAACAGAAAAAGTCTTTTATCACTTAAAAAAAACTAGTAAACAAGTAAACAGAAAAAATTTTATTTTTCAGATTGCTTTCAATTTTTACTTTCTTACTACATTTTAATAATTTTAAGTTTAATATTTAATACATAAAAGGTGAGTAGATGAAGGTTTTAAGGGATATTTACGTTAAGCACAGTATATTTAAAGTTTTTATGTTGGTAATAAAATTAAATCTGCATTTTTTTATTTTATTTCTTGCTTGCCAAAAGAGAATCGTCGACAAATGAACCTTCACCCACTCCTAAAACATTTAATGATTGCCTCTTATTACCTTTATCCACTGAAATGATTCCCCTCATCAATGTAATGATTTGTAACAGAAATTGACAAAAGAATGTTGGAACCTTTTCCCCTTCAAATGGCATTTTTATAGTATTTATAATTTTTACTAGCAATTTTAATAAAAAATTGAACCATTTTTAAATTTCAATTAACTAATAGGTTGTTGTAAAATTTTAAATTCGCATAAAATTACATCGCTGATTTATAATTGGTATTCTTTCATTTTTATATATTGCTTACTCTGTACCATTATTATATTTTTATAACTATATTTTTAATTAATTACGATGTGGAGTTTAATTAGCATACATCCATTTTCTTATTCAATAAACGTCTTTCTTTTAAGTAATTATAAGATAGTCTTCTATAGTTATAAGCTTAGTATTTAATTTGTTTGGGCAATTCAATTAACATTTATACTATTAATTATGTGATGAATATTTTTCAGTCAACCAAGACAAACAATTCTCTTCTATAGATTATGATTGATATTTAATTTAATTAATTATGATATACAGTTTCATTACATATTATCCACTTTCCTGTTCCATAAACATCTTCCTTTTAAATAATTATAACATAGTTTTCAATCGATATAAGCTTAGCATTTAATATTAAATAATCATAACGTGCATTTAAGTTTACATTTATAATATTTTCTATTTTCCTTTCAATAAGATGAAAGAGAGATGGTTCTCAATAGTTATATGATTCATATTTAATTTAATTAATTACGATATACAATTTTCTTAGCTATTATCCAGTTTTCTATTAACCTCTTCCATTCTTATAAATCAGTGGTTACCAACTGACGGCCTTTTTTTGTGGCCCGCGAACTAAAATATATAAGTTGTTGTTTTTTTGTGGACAATTTTCGTAAAAAATCTATATGGGTTTTAAATACTTTCGTTTAAAAAAACATAATTTCTTCGTTTCTGTGAAATTTATCATACCAACGATGCAAAAAAAAAAATTTTCTCAGGTTTTGCATCCAAGAAAATATTTATTCAAATACANAAAAAACGTCTTCCTTTTGAGTAATTATACGATAGTCTTCTATAGATGTAAGCTTAGTATTTAATTTGTTTGGGCAATTCAATTAACATTTATACTATTAATTATTCGATGAATATTTTTCATTCAACCAAGACAAACAATTCTCTTCTATAGATTATGATTGATATTTAGTTTAATTAATTGTGATATGCAGTTTCATTTCATATTATCCACTTTCCTGTTCCATAAACATCTTCCTTTTAAATAATTATAACGTAGTTTTCAATCGATGTAAGTTTAGCATTTAATTTTAAATAATCATAAGGTGCATTTAAGTTTACATTTGTAATATTTTCTATTCTCCTTTCAATAAGATAAAAGAGAGATGATTTATATTTAATTTAAATTAAATATAAACTATTATTCATATTTAATTTAAATTATGACATACAATTTCCTTAGATAATACCCAGTTTTCTATTAACCTCTTCCATTCCTATAAATATACGATAGTCTTCAATAAATATGAAGAAAAGTTTCAGTCGGAAGAGAGCGTTTTGTTTTGGCATGTTGTGTGTGCATTGTTTAAAGTTTTTTCTTCCGGACAAAAACGGAAGTAAATTATTAGTATATTATAAATATACTGAGGAGCATTATTATAGAAGTGAGTGTGCCAAGGGCAAAAAGGGGAAAGAAGATGACTGCTTAACGTCATGTTGCACTCAGCCGCTCTGACGCCGGACAGCTGGCCACATAACGTCAGCATCCTAAATCCTA